GCATTTACATATTTTAATATGCTTTTCACCCTAGTTACCCAGTTAGATATTGTTTTCGCCAAGCTCCATTCCAAGTCGATATGCTTCATAGATTTCAGTAAAACTTGGTACATAAATGCTCTGGGATAATACGCAGACTTGATTAGTTTACCTAATTTGCATATTAATTAATAAATTTTAAGCGAGGGTTGTTACATTTGTTTACAGTATCAAGTTTCTTCCCTTCAAAGGATAAAAGTTCATTAATTAAATATCATAATTTTTGTTTTGTTCGTATTAACTTAAGTTTCAATTTTATTGCGTATTTGGAAGTTTTGTCCAGACAATTTTGCAAACTTGAACAAGTTTTAGATTTTGGAATGTTGACTATATCATCAGCATAGAGAAGGCTACTAAGACTGGTGTTGGGAATGGCGGGTCACAGGGAAGAAAATATTTGGCAGGTCATTAAACCTGCAGATATGACCCGGAAGTACAACATGCAATGTATACCATCGTTGTGTCGTCACAGGAAGCGCTGTCTCAGCATAGACCTGTGTCATCAATCTCCTACCCATAGGTCTTTGCTCTTTACGCAATAGTACTGCTGCCACAGGCAGCTTTCAATTTTGTGGTCAATCACCTCACTACGCAGGGCCATTTTCTCGTAGTTATTAAATCTGAAAACCTACTACAGAAAGTGGAAAAAGTAACGTGTGTGACATCCTAACTATTCATTAATGTCAATATATTTTAGATGAAAAAAATATCATTTGTATTTAAACTGCCTCCAATATTTTGTTGAATGTGACTTTTATAGAACCTTGCTTGCACTCGCTACTACCGACATAATCACATTTACAGTATATTGCTAGCAATCGCCACCTCCACCAACTTGAAAGCAACAGTCTCACAATGAATATATGTTCATCAATTATCAAACTAAACATTCAATGAAGCGGACTGTGACGGTTAAAACGAAAAGACAAGGCCAAGACGAACACATGTGACAGTACGATTATTCTCGTCTACTACACGCCCGGGGACTACACGTTCAAGTATCCAACTTCCCAGCTTACAAAACA